CGATTCTTCGAGTATTACCGACGGGCCGAAAAGCGGATCGAGTAGCGATAGAGCCGATACTAATGGCGGTAAAAATATGCTGCTAGAGGTTTTAATTCTGGTTAAGGACATAACGAATTACGTCAACTTGTCTGTAGAACGCTACGAAGCTTGGCAGAGGCTACAGAAGTTGCAGCTGCAGATGGTGAAAGTTCCCGTGGATGAGAGTAGCGAGAATTCGTTGCCCTATTTTGAGTTGTTTAATGTCAGTTTGTGTGTATGTGTGTGTGTCTGTGGGTTTGTTTGTGTGTGTGGTGTGCGTGTGCGCGTGTGTGGTGTTTGTTTATGTTTGTGTGCGTTGTATACGTGTGTATGTGTGCGTGTGTGTGTTTGTGTGTGTGTTTGTATGTTTCGATTGAATGTAATAAATACCTTTGTCATAAATACGATCGTTTCTTGACGAATTTTATCCATTAAACCAGAGCTTGAAACTGACTGATTACAAATTGATACACGAGGGCCCTTTGGAATGGGCGGTTACGACGTCGAAACGCATCTCAGTGCAACTTGTCTTGCTGGATAGCTTGCTAGTAGTGCTGCAGAAGAAAGTTGGAAACTCAGAAACTGTGACGGGGAAAAAAAATTCTCCAACTACCCTCTCCACCGCCATTAAAAAATCAGCTACGATTATTTCTACCACCAAAACTACCACATTTAACAGCAATACTGCCACATATAGCGTTAATAATAGCAGTAACTCGAGTAGCAGTAATAATGCTACCGGTACAACTGCACCGAATAAGTCGAATACTTGCGAGTATTTGCTATCGTACCGAACGAATTTGATAACTGCCGGTAAGGAAGACACCAGAACTACGCACAGCCCTGTTTTGAAATTATCCGATGTCTTTGTTAAGCCCGTTGCTACTGGTAACTGCTGAATTCGGTTTTTTTTTCTGGCGTGATGGTAGAATGATTGAGGCGTTGCCTGGCTGTGCTGTGGCAGACCGGGTTCGACTGCAAACAGATCCCCGCCTGTCATTTGCTGTTATGTATGATTGATTCACGTGTTGTTGGTGAATTCACAATAATAATAGTAATATAATTTTAATTAACTAGTCAGTGTATCAAGTTAATTATAATTATATTATGTTGTGTATTTATTTAAATATATATTTTTGTTTATTTATTTAAAATAATTACTTATGTAACATTAATATGTTATATTGATTTTTTTCTCTATAAGATGCAAACGCATTTTTCGTCCTGTGTTCACTGAGTTGGCGCCCACAGATGTATCACCTCGTTGCTTCTAATGTGGTCGAAAAAAATCGGTGATAGTGTTTATCTCTTCATTAATTAATTCATTCATTCATTCACTCATTCACCCTTTTATTCGTTCACTACTACATAAGTTCATGCATGCATTCGTTCATGCATATTTTAGTTAACGAATCTCTCTCCACTCATCCATCTCTCCACCCATTAATTCATTTATTAATTCATTCATTCATTTATTCATTCATTCATTTATTCATTCATTCATTTATTCATTCATTCATTCATTCATTCATCAATTCATTCATTCACACATTCGATCGATTGATCAGATGGTGCGAGTTGATAACAAACGCTCGTGACCAGTACTTGGAGCGTAACAAACAGTATGACCCTTCATTCTACTTTGGATTCGGCACGAAGAGGTAATAGTTATAATAATTATTATATTATAATTATTAATTATGGTCATAATTTTTAATCATGTGGTAGAAGTGTGCGTGTGTTGCGTGTGTGTGTGTGTGTGTGTGTGTGTGTGTGTATGTGTGTGTGTGTGTGTGTGTGTGTGTGTGTGTGTGTGTGTGTGTGTGTGTGTACATATTACGTGTTTATTTTCTGCTATTCTGTTTCTTCTTGTTTTTAAAAATTCAGATACGCTGACAGCAACAACAACAACATCAACAACAACAACAAAATCAAAAGAGCGAAAATAACTGAATCGTTATTTGATGACCCAGCCCTAAACAACAACAACAATAATAATAATAACAGCAACAACAACAATAATAGCAACATCAATAGTAATGAAACTAGCAACAATAACAGCAATCATAACAATGATGTCATCAACAACAACACTAGCAACAAAAATAACGGCATCGATAACAACAATAACGTCCAAAACATCGGCATTAAAATGCCCCACAATAAAACATCAACAACAATAGCAACAACAACGACGTCATCAACAACAACAACAATGACGTCATCAACAACAACAACATCAACTCAAGAACTGTACGATATGTTGTTAGATTTCAATGGTTTCGTTCTTGCACTGGGAGATGCCTTTACTGATGGTACATTCATTCATTCATTCCATTCATTCATTTATTCATCCATTCATCCATTTTTTCATTCATTCATGCATTGAATGAAGTAAAATTGAATGATTGAATGAACGCTGATTTAAACGAAATAATAAACGTATGCATTGACATTGAAGAACGAACGAATGAGTGAATGAACTACTGCATGAATGAATTAATGAACGAATGAATGAATGAATGGACGAATGAATGAATGAATGAATGCATGGATGAATTATTGCATGAATGAATAAAGGACTAGACGAAATGTTTAATACAAATTTATTTGAAAATGTTACTGCTAGTATATTGATATTTCCTCTCGTATAAATAGCAGAAATATAATGACTAACTAAACCAAACTAAACTATTCTAGGATCGTCGCTGTCCCCAGCAGTCCTTCCATCATCATCATCACCTCCACCATTGACGTCATCATCACCATCATCATCAACCTTGTTATCATCATCATCATCAGCAGCAGCATCGCCACCATCACCGTCATCAACGTTGTTATCATCATCTTCCTTATCTCCGTCAAACTCCATGATGACGAGTAGAGAGTTACTTGACTGGAGCAATAGGCTGTACGGAAGATTGCAATATTTTCTGGTTGGTTGGTTGATTGGTTGGTTGGTTTGTTGACTGGTTGGTTGATTGGTTGGTTGGTTTGTTGGTTGGTTGGTTGATTGGTTAGTTTGTTGGCTGGCTGGTTGGTTGGCCGGTTCGTTGATTTCTCTGTAGCCTATAATTAACATAATTTATGAGCGAACGTATGAAACTAGATTGATTATGCACCAAATATTTTTTTAGTTGTTGATGTAGATAATGAGCCAGCAGCGTCCCTACACTAACTACATCAGTGTTGTCCGTGGTGTCGGTACGAGTATCGATCGAATTTCCTATCACCGACACTTTTTTGACCGAAAAATACCGATACTCAACCGATACCATCAATACTTCTGAACTTTCTGGATATATTTGTATTAATGGTTATTTCAATTTCCAAAATTCGGTGCGTTTTCAAAGTGGTAAATTTGGAATTTAAGAGAAACTTTTGCCGGATTGTGAATGTTTTTTTTAAACATGTTTTGCCACCGCAGTCCTTGATACTCTGAAACGTTCCTCTTCTTCTTTTCATTGGTTTAAACGACTTCAAAAGACTGTTAAATCTTTTTCACTTAACAAATTTTTCCGTCTATTCAAAGTTTAGCGCCTTATAAATATTTATTTTTTTTTAATTCCAGGATTCATTTAGCAGAGATAACGATAGCAGGGGCAAAAATGAAAGCAAGGATGGCAACAACAACAACGATCACAACAACAACAATAATAATAATAGCGATATCAATGATGATGATTATGATTACGATAATGAAGGTGATGCTGATGATGATAATAATAATAATGATGATGATAATAATGATAGTAGTAATAACGATGATGATGTTGTTGATGTTGATGACGATGACGTCACGATGAATTTGAATTGCACTGCCAATGAGTGTGTGTGTGAAGTTGATGGCAATTTTACTTATAAGTTATAAACGTTTAATTGATAGTAATTCAGTGCGTCTGTGCATGTATGTGTATGTATATGTGCATGTATGTGTTGTGTGTGTGTATGTAAGTATGTATGTGTGTGTGTATGTAAGACCTTTCGTTGATTAACTAGCAATTGATGGGGCTATGATCATTGTCAGGTTCTGCTATACTCTGTGTTGTTAGGTCAGGCAGAGAAAGGTTATTTAAAGCCTCATCAAGTATACAGAAAGAATTAAATTTTTGAAGCAGAACCGATATATATGTTCTTTAATGTAGTTTTTATCTAAAGAGTTTCCTGATATTAAGATAATTTTATTAATAAGTTCTTTTAAAAATAGATGGTTATTGTTGTCGGTTTGTCCGAAGGTTTCGATGCCTACTGGTTGAAAGATTTTAGAGTCGTTGAGAGTAGCATACTTAGGCAGTTTTTGGTCGTGTGTTTTAAAATTTGCGTTTCTTTATCAATGGTTCCAAACTATTCCATGTATGTATGTTTGTATGTATGTTTGTTTGTATGTTTGTTTGTATGTGTGTGTGTACATTTCTACTTTAATAATCTGGTAGTTAAATTTATCTTCTTCATTTAACCTATGTTGTTTTTTAATAAAACAATTTTATTGAGTTATTCACTAATAAGGATAATAATAATAATAACATTAATAGTAATTAATTATTATATTCTAATTTTTTGCTAATCCCGGTTAGACACGTCATACAAATAAAAAAATTCTTGCATACATGCATACACATATATATACATACAAACAAACAAACATAAACACACATACATACATACAAGGTCTTCAGCTTTTTAACAAATAATTTTTTTCTAGTTTTCTTTCATATTTTAATAAATTATTTTTAAATTTACTGTTTTGTCGGTTTGTTGCATGCATATATATACATATATACATCTATATATATATATATATTAAATAATATGTTATTAGTATTAGGTATATGAGAACGAATCCTACAGAGTAATTCCAATCTCAAAACTCTGTGATAAAAAATAAATATCCTTAGTTCGTGCCATAAAAATATTACGGTTGTCCTTTTGGTTTTCGTCAACCTAGCACATCTCTACATTTGTAATATTCCGGCATTTTCTAGAGAATTCGTTACTTTCTCTCTGACGTTATCTTGTTATTAATTGTGTTTTCTCGCGTTTCTCGTACGTAAATCGTTAAATTAGTAAATTTTCGAGACGTTTGATTAAAATTTATTGAAAAGGTAACTTTAAATTATTTTAAAGTATGTCCGTATCAACTAGCGTGCTCAGATTTCTTTTTTGTTTGTAGCTCTGAGTATGAGTGTGCAGTTTTTTAACTTCCATTTTCTAATTATCTATTTTATCTCTATTTTAGAATCCGTACCCTCCTACATCCGTAATCAACAATAATGGTCAAAGAAACTGGTTATTATGATTTGTTGGGCGTCAAACCAAACGCTACTCCTGATGAACTCAAAAAAGCCTACAGAAAATTGGCACTCAAATATCATCCAGATAAAAATCCTAACGAAGGGGAAAAGGTTAAAATGATAATAACAACTTTTTTTAGTTTTTTTTACTCACCATTATATTACATTGATTAATTTAAATATTTTTTGATAATTACTTTTATCAAATGTTTCATTAACAATTCAGTTCAAAGCGATATCTCAAGCATATGAAGTGCTTGCTGATCCTAAAAAACGTGATTTGTACGATCGTGGAGGTGAGCAAGCCATAAAAGAGGGAGGTGTAGCCAGTGAAATGCACAACCCTATGGACATATTTGATATGTTTTTTGGTGGTGGAAGACGGGGAAGATCAGGGCCTCCAAAGGGAAAAGACGTTGTTCATCAGATCAAAGTAACTCTTGAGGAATTGTACAATGGTTCAACTAGAAAGCTTTCTTTACAAAAAAACATCATCTGCCCAAAATGTGAAGGTCGTGGTGGCAAAGCAGGTTCTGTAGAGAAGTGTGCCAATTGTCGTGGTACTGGTATGCAGACTCGTATTCAACAACTAGCCCCAGGTTTCATGCAACAAATACAATCTGTCTGTGTCGAATGTCAAGGACAGGGAGAAAAAATTGCAGCAAAAGATAGGTGCAAAGAATGTCAAGGCAAAAAAATTATTAGAGAAAAGAAGATTCTTGAAATCCATGTTGACAAAGGTTCGTTATGCGAAATTCAATTGTATCTTAGATAAGGTATTATTCTCAAAGATATAATATTTATTTCCCATTGTAGGTATGAAAGATGGCCAACAAATTAGATTCAGTGGTGAAGGAGATCAAGAACCTGGTCTTGAACCTGGGGACATAGTTGTCATATTAGATGAATCTGAACATCCTGTTTTTCGTCGTATACATTCTGACTTGACCATGAAGATGGAAATAAACCTGACAGAAGCCCTGTGTGGATTTCAAAAAACTATAAAAACACTGGATGACAGATGTCTCGTTATCACATCTCTACCTGGTGAGGTTATCAAACATGATGAGATGAAGAGCATCCTTAATGAGGGCATGCCATTCTACAAAAATCCCATGGAGAAGGGCAGGCTGATTGTACATTTTCAGGTTAAATTTCCAGAAAATAACTGGATCACTGGTGAAAAGTTGGTCGAATTGGAGAAATTGCTTCCACACCGTGTAGAGTCCATAATTCCTGATCATGCTGAAGAGTGCGTTCTTCATAAATTTGACCCTGCGACCAACAGAGCTGGTATGAATGGCAGACAGGGAGAAGCCTATGACTCAGATGATGAAAGCAGTGGACATCACGGAGGTCAAAGAGTTCAATGTGCATCTCAATAAATTTGCTCTTTTAGGTCATCTGTAAATGCTTATTATTATTATCATTTTTTACATTCTCATTATTGTGTTTTTTATTTCGTTTTTAATGTGAGCAGAACCATTAATGTTATATATTTGTTTGGATTTACGACATTGTCATATCGGATGAATTCTATAGGGTCATTTGTGATGGAAGTTGTGTGATTCACTCTTTACTTTAATATTTCATCAGTTTAGTTATAAATACTTTTAACGAATTATTATTGCAGATTATATAGAAATTGTTACATTTGCTGTTATTATGTTGTCAGCTTGTGTTTATAATATGGCTGATGACATGCTATGTAACGTTTTTGATGTGTAAATCAATCATTATGGTACTCAATATGTCTATCATAAGTTTCACTAGCAACAATTTGTTACTAATTATGATGTTATCGTGCATATGTTTTACGTGTACAATATATATGGTATATACTTGATGTGTATATATGTATTTATTACGGTAATCGCATATATGCTTTTGGTTGAATTATACAATGAATAGTTTTCACTAATTCTCATCCAGCGTTCTTTGGTATTACCTACCTAATTTTTTTTACAATCCTAAGAACCAATCCTTATTTTGACTTTTAAAATTCCAGTGCGTAGCGTATTTATCTTCCATGTTCTTTGATATTTTATCTCGAAATTCTTCTTTCTCCTCCCTTATCTCTTCAGGCATTGACAACCATCGACCTCCATAAACCCGATCTTTGACACTTTGTAGTAGTTGAAATGTGGTGATGTTCAACAAGTGATACAGGACTTCACGAATGCTATTCGCTGTTGACCGCGATCTCTTTTTCCTTGAAATTAAGTAACCGAATTCGAATTTCTAACCACGTCGAGTTTGCAAATGGTGGGTTTGCGAGATGTCCGTCGGCTCGATGGCTTTAGCCACGAACGGCGTATTTGTATGATGTATTTTCTTTTATTAATTATTTGTGCTGGTTGTTTAATGATTTTTTGTCTAAAAAATTTTTTAATTTGTCCATTAAATTTGATCTATAGTTGAAAACGTGCGGTTATATACATAGAGTTTCTATTTGTGTGATATATATATACGATACTCAAAGGCCCGTTGCTTGTTTCAAATTTCGGCCATTAGTTGTCTCGTTTCCGCTTTTGTCGATTTGTATTTTCTGCCGATATTCACTCAAAGTTTTTGTTTTGAAATGTCGGACGCAGCTGATTCTGAGTAAATATGAATTTATTCTTAAATTTAAATTTTCAATCAGATTTTTAAAAAATTTTATGATTTAGCTCGATTTATATTAACATCGCACTTTTTTTGATTAAACCCCTATCAAACGTTTAGTTTTAACTACATTTTTCGTTGAATAATTTTAATAATTTTTATTTACACTATTTTGATCTACTAATATTAATCAATTATTCACAGTACGGATAGTAAAGATATCTTAAACAGGGCGGTCCCACCGTCTAACATGGTATCGAAGACCATTCCCGGCCGTCCCATTGCACGGTTGTTTTGCAAGAACAGATTTGAATTTCTAATCAACAAGACGAGAGTTCTTGTCGGTCGATCCGGTGGGGACATGAAAGGAAACAATAATTTAGAAGTTGACATTAGTATTGATGGCTGTTCGTTGTACATCAGCAGAAGACATTTTGATATCTTTACGTCAGATTGTGTCAAGTTTTTTGTTTCTGTTTATAGTAAAAATGGCCTATTTGTTAATGGATTGTTTCTAAGAAGAGGCAGTGCTGCATTCCAACTAAAAAATCAGTCAGTAATGTTTTTGTTCTACTTAGTCAATTTTTTCAATTAATTAATAAAGTTATATAATTTTCTATATAAAAAATTAAGGAAAAATAAACATTTTATTAGAACAATCAAATTGTTGATTTGTTTTTAAAATTTATCAAAAACCAACTTAATTTTTGACTCATTTATCTTTTGTAGATCTCGCCTCCGATTTCCAAAGACTGATTTAAAGATACTATTCCAAATATTCACTCAGGAGAATGAGCCTGGGATTGAACCCGGTTCTGTCAGTCATGATCTTATCTCTAAAGAGGAAAACGGTCGCGGGGATGCCGATCAGTTTGAAGATAAACTGCCAACAACTTTGCAAACTTATAAGTCAGTTTATGTTTTAATTTTTAATGCCAAATTTCATTTTAATTCTATTGAAAATATTTCTCACATTTTGTTTTAGCTCAGATTGTTATGTTTAACATTAGTCTGGTTATTAATGTTGGATACAATTTTGAAATTTTTATGTTGTGACTTACTTTTGCTTTCTCTCTTTTATCCCATATTCAGTGACATGTACCAACAGCAACATCAGCAGCAACAACCATATCAGCTGGGTCAGCAGACTTCACCAGGCCACCACCAACAACAATTAATATCCCCCATGAACAGTCCAGACAAAAACCAAAACAACCCATTCGCAGCCAATGCAGCACTCAACTCCAAACTTGAGCGAGAAGTCTTCAAACAGCAATCATCACAACATATTCAACAGCAACAACTCCCGGCTGTCCTAAATAATCCCAACTCGAACCTTAACCCCAGCAACCCTAAAAAGAGAAAATTCACTGAAATGCCTGAGTCTATGGCCTCTAATCATCAGCAGCTCTCACAGGACTGGGGTTCGAGAGGAGATTATTCAGACGGTCGAAAACCGCCATTTAGTTACAGCCAGCTGATAGCTCAGGCTATTTTTAGCACTCCGGATCACATGCTTTGCTTGAATGACATTTACATGTTCATTACTAAGACCTACCCGTTTTATAGACCCGAGGAAAAGGGCTGGCAGGTTGGTTTGGTGTCATTTTTTAATTTTTTTTGTTCAGGATTTTTTATTTGTACTTGAATTTTGTTTGTTTGTCTGCGTGTTTATTTCTATTTTTTGTTCAACATTTTAATTTTTTGAATAGTTCTAATCAAATTTTACAATTTTCAATAGAACTCTATAAGGCATAACCTGTCACTCAGTAAGAGTTTTGTTCGTATGCCAAGAGCCAATGATGAAGGTTTGTTTGTTGGTTGGTTAACTTAGCGATTGCTTAGTTGTGTAGTAATTGACTGGTTGATATTTTAAGTTGCGTGGTTGATTGATTCGTGGATGATGCATTGAATAAATTTTTGATTACCATTAATTTCAGGTAAAGGATCTCTCTGGACCATACAGTACAATGACAAACAAAATATGATGAAGACAGCTTACCGACCTCGAGGGACAAGGGATAAATATAATCACCATCATCATCAACCGCAGCAGCAGCAACAGCAGTCCGGGTCGACACCTGCGAGAGTTAGGATGCTGACTGAATCTATGTCAAGGTTTGTTTGTTTTGTGGTCGTTTGAATGTCTTTGGTTTTGTTCGTTTTGTTTCGTATATTTGTTTTTGGTCGTTTAGTTGATTTTTTATGTTTTGTTTGTGTTTGTTCGTTGCTTGTTTTGTTGTTGTGATGTGATCTATTTGTGGTTCTAATATGCTATTTGAGGTTGTTCATGTGTAAAGTGTATTTATCATACCTGGAAATATGAAATCATCATTCATTCATTCATTTCCCTCAGGTTCACTCACTCAATATTTGTCAATTCTTTCATTCATTCATTCAATAATCTAACATTTTATCAATCAATCCATTCAATCATTTGTCCATCTATCCATCCCGACAACAGTGTCGGGGACAGTGAAGATAGTCAGGATATGTACCAGAACGAGGATGAAGAGGCAGCCAACAGCATTGCCCTTGCTGGGGTTCAGGTGGCCTCGGAAGGTTTCACCTTTGCTGTTGGAGATCAGTTTGGGGATGGCGACTGTTAGTGGGCATTTTGTTTGCTCTCGTTGATTGACTTACTAATTGATTGATTAATTAATTGATTGATTGACTAGTTGATTAATTGGTTTATTGATTAACTGAGTTGTCAATTGACTGGCTGTTCAATTGATTGATCAACTGATTGTCTGATTATTCAGTTGATTGAATGATTTTCTTGCAAACAGCGGCCGACCAGTTAGGCAAACCGACTCAGGCAGCCATCCTACAGTCAAGCTTTGCCAATCCTATGCAAATATTTATGCAGCCGGATAGAAGAGGTCTAATCAGTCAGCAGCAGCAGCAGCAACAGCTGCAGCAGCAACTACAACAACAACAGCAGCAGCAACAACAAATTAGTCTTGGTCAATTGCATAGGGTTAGTTTTGTTATGCTATGATGATAATGCGAATGAATGATTCTGTTTTTTATTCATTTTCGTTTAAAAGCCTTATAAACATCATCATGATTCTAGCTGACATAATGATTTTAAAGTTTTGATATCGATAGATAAATGAATGAATAAAATTCCCTAATCTTCCTTCCATGCATTCTCCTTGCAGGCAAATATATCTGGCTCAGGTGGATCAGTACAAGTTGTGAGATTGACAGTGAACCCAAACACAGATGCCATCAGCAGCAGCATCTCCAATACGGTAACGACGACACCATTTGGATCATTCCAGAAGGTCGAACAAGATGCCACCAACACCACTACGACGGGAGCGACAAACACAACGTGGCATCAACAACAACAGCCACAGCAGATATTCATTCAGCAGCAGCAACAGCAGCCACAGCAAATTAGAATCCAACAGCAGCAGGTCACCACTGGCACAGGACAGAGAATCATCATACTGAGACCGGCCCAACAGCAGCAACAACAACAACAACAACTCTCAACTGACTCTACATCAACAACAACAACAAGCCAGCCAACGTTAATTCAACAACAACCAAAAAAAATTATCCTAGCCAGTGGTTCTAATTTATCCATGCTTAACGGGGCTAACAACGCTAATAGCAATACAATACAGCAAAGAATAATATTTTCTCAACAGGCTCAGCAACTGCAGCCACTAGTTCAACACAACAGCAGCAATGATGTTGATGAGTTGAATGATCAGATCTTGCAGGGCTCTGGCCTAGATGAGGATACTGAACAACAACCACAACAACAACAACAGAATCAACAACAGCAGCAACAAACTTTGCAGTTTGAAATGTTGACATTCGAGCAACAACAACAGCTTCTGTTGGAATTACAAAAGCAACAGCAACAACAGGAAGATAACAATGACCAGCAACAACAACTTCAACAAGATGACACCACCACCAACAACAACAACAGCTTAGATACAGAACTACAACAACAACAAAAACATAGTGAGAATGAACATCAAAATGATACTGACAACTCTGACCAGCAACAACAACAACAATCTCATTCCACCATTAAAGTTGATGCTGATGATGCTATGGATACCAATGATAATGATCACAATACTGATACTAATGATAATGAATAACAATAGTGAATAAATTGTTTTCTTTGATTTATTAATGAAATATATTATTGTTAATTGTTGTTTTTTTTTTCAATTTATCACATGTGCGTCTGTATGTATGCCATGTACGTATGTATGTATGCCATGTATGTATGTACATACAAGTATGTATGCCATGTCTGTATGTATGCCATGCATGTATATGTATACGTACGTATGCATACAAAACCTTTTTAGAAAAATTTTGTCTACAGCATTTAGTTGACATTTGTAAAGAGAATTTTCACAGATTTTCATGCTATTGAAAATATTTATAAAAAAGTTTTGAATTTACAGTAGAGTATTAAATTTGATAAGGAACGTATCATTATATATATATATATAGAGAGAGAGAGAGAGAGAGAGAGAGAAAGAGGGTGTGTAAAAGCATATAAGTATATGTGTATATATATATGTATATATGTGTATATTTATATATATATATTTATATTTTATATATATATATGTGCGTGTGTGTGTGTGTGTTTTGAATTAGGTACATTTTAATTAAATGTGGGAATGTTTTTTTTTATATATATATCTTACTCATTTATTTTCTTCTAATTATTACTATCATTATTATAAGTAATGTAATTTATTTCTAATTTATTATAATTTATTGCTAATTATTATTTCGTCATGAAGGAAAGTACTGAATTATTAGTAATGTTCACAGTTAAATATATTTTCTGTGCCTGGCTTAATGTTGTTAATTATCACCAGCAGTCTGACTGCTTAAACATGCTGGTCAATCATTCAATTAATTGATGAAATCTTTAATTAAGTAATTAATTTAATTTATTAATCCGATAGATTTTAATTGAATTATTCAATTTGTTATATGTATATATTTATGTAAATATATATAAATATAAATATACATATATAATGTATGTATATATACGATGATTTATTTCTAATGTAATTATCTGCTGTAGTTAGTGTGAGTGTTAATTAGTTTATTTCAAATAAATATACTGAAATTTGTTCATATTATTATTATTTAAGGTTATCTTCCTTTGTAAATTTCATGTTCAAAGTCTTCTTTTAATATTGAAAAATATTTGTTCGTTCATTCATTCATTCATTCATTCAATCGATCATTCATTTTCCATTTGTACACATTTGGCCTCACTTAGACCCCCCAAAAAAGATTACAAATTATATTTTGTTGTTTTTGTTTCAATTGTTCATTCAAAAAGACGGTTTGTTATGTTATTTCATTGTTACCTTCTTATATACATGTATAGATAAGATACATGATACCCATGGATATATATATATATATATATATCCATGATGATATCATTTACTGATGGTTATATATATATATATATATATATATATATATATATTAATATATTTGATATATCATTATTATTTATTGTTAATATTATGGTAGTTAATAATTTTTTAATGTTATATATATATGTGTGTGTATAAATGCTTGTAAACATGGTTATATATATGTATATATATATATGTATATATATATGCTTATATATATTATATATACGTAAAAAATTTGTTTTGTCGATATAGAATGTTAGTTTGTTCGATTCGTTTGATGCGTTTCTCACGGGTTTAGACCATTTTCCTAATTCAAGTTCTGTCTTCTTTAGAAGTAAGCGGAAATTCACTTTTAAACCGTTGTCATAGTAATCTATCGAGATGGCTTCTGACTCTTATGAACAGGTATCCTGATTAGATTAATTTTGATTGGGAATAATTTTTTTTCGTCGTTGCTTGTTGATTTAATTTAATGAGGCTGTTTTTATAACTGACGTTTTTACACCTTTAGAATTTAGTTAGAGAAATTTTTTTTTATTTTTTAAACTTTTTGTAATTTTTAAAACAAATTTCATCATTATATTATAAGATATGATATTATTGTTTTAAATGATATGATTATTTTATAAAATTATTTTTATTATTTATTATATCTTTGTAATATGATTTTATCAATCCTCCAAGCTACTGCAAACTGTCAACGAAGAGCTCGAACTAGAGAGTGCCTTAAGAGGACCAAGTGCTGCTGATGCTGAAAGAAAAGATGATAATATTTATAATTATAATAATAATAATTATTATGATATTAATTATAACAATAGCAACAACGATGATGATGATGATGGTGGTGGTGGTGATAACATTGGTAAAATAGATGATGATAAAGATAGTGCTGATTGTAATAACAGTGATGAGTACCTATCAGCTATTGGTTAGCTTTTGATTGAATGATTGGTTGGTTGAATGATCGATTGATTGATTGATTGATTAATTGATTGATTGAATGTTTTAGTAATTTGTTGGTCATTTGATTAACTGATTGATTGGTTTCTTGGTTAAATGATTGATTTACTTATCCATTGACCGTTTAGGTTTAGCCATGTCTGAAAAACATGAGGATTCAGAAAAGAATGGCGTCATCAGCCATCATCGTAATAACAATGATGGCAGAAAACCAGAAGTAATTTTAGCCGTTTCTATGTTTTTACTATTTATTTATTTAGTTATTTATTCAAGTACACTTATTTTTGTGACTGAGTTTCGTAAAGTTGGCTGATTGATTATTGGTTGATTAATTGACTATTTGATTTATATTTAGTTATATTCATTAGTTTGCTTATTCATTCATTTATTCAATGAATCGTTTAATTGTTTGTCCTTAGTCCTTTGCTCTAGACAGTAGAAATGATGAGGATGATAAGGACGAAAATGGTGATATGATTGTGAGAAATGACTCAAGGATATCTGATCAAGGTACGATGATGAGGATGCTGATAATGATGAAGATGAAGATAATTTGATTTATATGTATTTTGATAATATTTATTGGTAATAATTTGATAACATTTTGCTTTTAATCTGATAGGCTTTAATTCGAAGAGGGAAATGGTGGCAGCTGATGACGATGATGATGAAAATCATGATGATAAGAACCATAAGTCAGTGATTACGCTTGGCGTCGAGAGTAAAGATGATGATAATGATGATGATTATGAGGCAAGTTACAAAGTCTACCTCGCATCAAAGGATCAGCTTGTCCAACATTATCATGTAAGTTTTGGTATTTTATTTATTTTTATTTGTTTTTATTGTTATTATTGTTGTTGTTAGTGTTATTGATTGATTAGTTTGGTTATTGGTTTTTTTAATTGATTTGATTCGTTATTTGATTTGATTCAATGGATTTATCGGCCGGCTGACGGATTGTTGAATGACTGATTGGTTTATTAATTATTGATTGATTGATGGATGGATAGATTGAATGATTAATTATTAATTAATTGACTGATTAATTAATTGATGGATAGATTGATTAAATAAACATCGATTGATGCATTGATTAATTTTATTTGAAGAAAGCAACAGCGGAGTTTCACGAGAAGCAAGAACTAAACCTTTTACTGCAGAGGAAACTCGCCGATCACTACAAGAGGAAGAAAGGAAGCTTTGACGACGACACTCAGCAGCAGCAGCAACAACAACAACAACAAACTACTAACAATATAGACGATGACGTCAACCAAATGGACATTGACAAACAGTATCTACATAAGTTAGGTTGGCCATGATTGTTGTTACGGTCATTATTATTTATTATTATTATTATTAGTAGTAGTAGTAGTAATAGTAGTAGTAGTGATGTTAGTTAAGGTAGTATTAGTAGTAGTAGTAGTACTACACACACACACACACACACAAAGTAGTAGTAGTAGTACTACACACACACACGCATTCAAATACTCAACAGATGAATACAAGAAAAGAATGGATGAATATGCAGGAGCGATGGAACGACATAAAAATGAATTGAATGACTACTCTGACACCTGTCGAAAAGTTACTCTGAGAGATTTTGAAGAGTTGCTAAAATTTGCTGAATTCAAGAAGCAAACCTGCTCACAGTTTCTACAACATAAGAAGGACCTCATTAAGGTTATTTACACTATTTTTATTGCTGTTGTTGTTGTTGCTGTTGTTGTTGTTGTTGCTATTTGTTATGTAATAATTTTATTATTTTTATTGTCTTCATCATTATTGTTATCACCATTGTCACATGATCATTATTTTTCACCGTTTTCTCTCTTACACACACATACACACACATACACACACACATATATATATATATATTCATTTCTTTGTAGGAAATAGAAAGAAAGTTGGCGATTGAGAACGACAAAGATAGAGAGATCAAACAGCTGAGGTTGGAGCATTACAAACTTCTGTACAAAGTCCTAAAAAGGAGTAAACTGGTAAAAGATTCGGTTAGCATATCATCATTATTATTATTATTATTATTATTTATTATTATCATCATCATCATTATTAATATCATAATTATTATTATGGCTATTATTAATAATACTAATTATAATTTTTTATAATAATAGGAAAGGTTGTCGGGGGGCCTTAGGATACTGGATTTTGAGCAGCTAAAAATTGAGAACCAAACCTACAAAGAGAAGATCGAAGAAAGAAATGAGGTCATTGACCTAGTTTCATTATCATTGATATTATTATTATTGTTTTTGTTGTTATTTATATTAATGTTATTTTTGTTAATAATAAGGTCGGTGAAGGATGTTTTTTTATTATAGGGGACAAATAAATTATAACTATAATAACGAACAATTATAAATTGATTATATTATATTTTTTAAATAATTTAGGAGGTGATCAGTTGTTGATATTTTATTTTAGGATTTGCAGAAGTTAAGCGACAAAAGGACAAAGTCGATCGTCATCTTGACGCATTGCAATGAAAAGAGTTTCCATGTAGAGAATAGTTTGAAGACTAAAACAAATGATCTTCACTCCATTGAAAAAAATATTTCGCTGGTTAATGTTTATTTTTATTTATTTATTAATATATTTATATATATATATATATATATATATTTATTACAATTCCCTCTTCAATAATTTTCATGGTCATCAACAACAAACATGGGAAAATAAAACATATAATTGCTGCTTTTCAATAATGGTGTCGATGAGATTCTCGCTCATAAATAACAACGCTTTTTGACTGCTATTGCTGCTTTTGTTGTAATTGTTATCACTTATTATTATTATCATTATTTTCTTATTATTATTATTGTTGTTGTTATTGTTGTTGCTGTTGTTACTGTCGTTATTTAAAGCATGTAAATTAACTTTTTTTTACGTTAAAGATCAGAGACGAGTTGACGCATCTCAAAATAGCTAGGGATAATTTGAGGAAAGAAAACTCCGGACTGAAATCCGGACTGGTTTTGTTGGAGAACAAACGTCTGATAAGGGATTTCCAGGGATGCGCCGAGAAGAATGGATCTTTAAATGCCGACCTGCTCGCCTTGAAAAATCAGTACAATGATTTACTGGCTCGGATGAAAACCGTTTGCTAACTTGGGGGATGACAATTATGATAAGAAGAATAATGACATGAAAAATAATATAATGATAATGATGATAATAATAATAATAATAATAGCCTCAGCAGCAACAACAACATCAATAATAATAATAGTATTAACATTCTTGTATAGTATATTATCATTCAAATTTTTCTAAGTTAGGTTACATGCCGGTTTACAATGTTAAAAATTCTCGTTGATTTTTTGTTATTTCTCATTATTGTTATCGTTATTTGTTTTATTGTCCTACCTCAGGGAACTGGGTCTCTGGACGCTAAACGAAGATTGATTGATTGATTGATTGATTATTTGTTTTATTGTTTGACGATTGATGATAGTTTTTTTTTAACTGCAAGTAATTTCTATTGAAAAATGTGATTGTTATTTTACGTCGTAGGTTTCTATTTCTTAGAGTCGTTTATTGTCTAACTTTGAAAGTCGAGTGTGTGTTTAAAAGTGTGTGTGTGTGTGTGCATGTCATGTCATGACAATTAAACACAAATGAGGGCTGTCATGCATGCACGTATAGATTAACGTAGCAGCATAAACAGCAATGCATTGCTAGTATGAAATCAGCGTTTTCGTTACTCATCACGTCGTCATCTTCATCTTTAATATTCATTTTTTTATTCATTATTATGCAATATTTTCACAACATTTTTGATTTTAATCTCGGTATATATTTGTACTTAACCGTTAAGATGTTGGTCCGTAAGTTAATGAACTTTGGCTGGAGGTTCTATTTTGGATCTAAACATGATACGTGTGTGTATATATATATTTATATATATATATATATATCATGGATTTAAATTAGAGCAAGGACGATTTAGTATCTTTGGTCATTTGTCATTTAACTGAAAAATTTTCTCAAATATGGCCGAGCCTGATGAAAGTTGGAATAAATCTATTGCCTATTTCGCCGCAAATGCACGCGAAAATTCTTCAAACTCTTCCGGAACGGTTAGTGTTTTGCCCGGGGAGGAACTCAAACTTATTGTCAAGTTAATAATTGACTGGTTAGTGGTTTTTTTTATCAGTTTTGTTCCAGTTTCGGTTTTAGAATTCTTAAGTTAACATTTTTTTTATCTTTTATTTATTGAATTTTATTTCCTGTTGTTTTCATTTTGAATGCGTTTTTAAATTTGAAAGTGATTATTTTTTAAAATAATTTAAGCTTATTGTTGAACAATTTATAATTAATGCCAATGAATGATTCATGAACTTTTTTTAAATGTCTGAGCTTTTTTTAGACTTTTTTTTTAGAAAGCTACTTGTACTTAATAATACTTAATAGTCTTTCTTTACTAGTCTATAAACTAGAAAAGCCAGCTAGTAGTTAGCAGTGAAATAGTAGTTCAAGTTCAATGAACTTGTTTAGTATGTTTTTTAAACAAAGTCTAGCTTCAAAGCCAGACATTTAATTTTTTGTTTATTAAAGAAAAAACATTAAATAAAAATTTGGCAAATGTTTAATTTAATTAAAAGCTTACCAAATAGTTAAAAAACTGCTATAAAAATTAAGCCTCATAAATTTTTTTTTTACAATTTAGTGAAAGTGAATTCTTAGAGCATGGAGGTGATGATAATGTTGAAATATTCTTTTCCGCCTATGCAGCTCTAGCCACCCACCATATCTGTGTGGGCATTAGTACATGTATGTATTTGTGTATGTTGTATTCTTCTGTTCTGCTGTTGTCTGTATTTGTGTTTGTGTGTGTGTGTGTTTGTGTGTGTGATATGTCATGCTATTTTTTTTAATGTATAAACCTGCATGTATGTGTATTTAGTTTGTAGTTTGGTGTTGTGTTATTTTCTGTTGTTTCTTGTATTGCTGTGGTTCTTCACACATGTGTCTCTATCTTTATGTTATGTTAGGATAGGCATTGTACATATATTTACTTTGTTTCATCCATTGTTTAATAGCTGGATGTATAATTTTAATATTATTAATAATAATAAAAGCTAGATGAGAACAAGCAAATATAAAAATGTATAAATATACTTTTACAGTCAGCAAATCCTCTTTGAAAGAGCTAGCAAATGTGTCCAGAATATTATTAACATTCTTCCTGAATAGAATTCAAACAAAGCATGAGAAGTGTGCAATTAACAAGGTTCAATGTCTCATTTATTCATTTTTTACTTGTTCAGACATTTTTGTAGAAATTTTTTTTATTGATTTATGTCTTCTTTTGTTTGTTAATTTATTTAAAAAGTTTTACACGCGCGCGCGCACACGCGCACACATGCACGTACACACACGCACACACACGCAGTTATGTGCATACAAACATGTGTATTACTTAAATAACAATTGTATTACTTAACACAGAAACAGTTGACGGTGTTAGTGAAGAGTCTTTGTAGAGTAACGTCGTACCTGCCCAAGTCGGATGTTGATCTCTTTGTGACACAGCTGAAATATCTGTCCATTCCTACTGTTCTGAAGGATAAGATGGCTATTCCAGGTTATTTCATTTCTGGTTCATTTCATTCATTCATCCATTTACTCATTTATTCACTCATTCATTCATCTATTCTTTGCAACCATTCAGTCTGTTGATTCGTTCTTTTGTCCATTCAGCCATTGATTCATTTGTCATTCATTCATCCATTGATTCCTCCATTGATTGATTGATTGATTGATTGATTGATTGATTGATTGATTGATTGATTCATTGATTCATTTATATTTTTATATTTACTCATTTATCAGTTTCAATTTCTTCAAGTTGATTGTTTATTTACTCTCACTAGCAAATCAATCTTCAACGAAAGGGAGTTCTACCACAACAACGACAACATCTCAACCACAAAAATCTGTTGCAAGCAGCAAGGCTGCGACATCAACTGCAGTGGCCACAGCCGCTACTACAACAACAGCAAAAGTCAATAAAAACAGTGGCTACGACCTGTTGATGTCAACATTGGATGAAATCTCAACTGATTTCCAGCATCATTTAACGTTGTTGACGACCTCAACGACGACGACAACATCCCTAGCACCAACATCATTAGCGTCAACATCGGCATCTGCCGCTACAACAAGCCAACAACAGCAGCAGCACAAATTGTTGCAGAGAAATCAATATAAGCACTCCACAATCTCATCCCCAACACCAACAACTAAACAACAGAAACAACAGCAGCAGTCAACAACAACAACTACAACAACAACAACAACTGCAACAACTACAACAACAACACAGACAGCAGTACAAGATAGCAAAGATTCTTCTAGCAAGGAAAAGTCGTCTGCTACCACCCAGCAATCTGGGGTCATCGATAAAAAGGACCCCAACACTTCAGCCCTCTTCTCCAATCAGCCCAGTGACATTCAGGAGTCACTCATAGTCCTAAATCTCTCGACTCTGCAGCAGCAGTTGAAGGGTAATGACATATTATTGGATGCATGCGCGTCTCTACCTGTCCTGAAAAAGTTTGAGGGCATGCACAAGTTTGTCACTAAAGTTAGTGAAAGTGACAGTGAAGCTGGTACAGTTGTTGGGGCTGGGACGAGTGTTACACTCGGGAAAGAATTTTTGTGGCCCATTAATTTAACTGAAGCCATGGCTATTGCGTCAAAGTTTGTTTTACTTTTGCACTATTTATAACATTTCCTCATTCATTTGCTCTGCTATAGTTCAATTATTGTTCATTATTAAATTAATATTGTTCATAAATTATTCATTTTTTTTATTCACTCATTCATTCATCTTTTTATAGATCAATCTTTCATTCATCCTTTCAATCATCCATCACTCTATTCACTCTTTTAATCTTTACCTTTTATCAACTACTCATTCTATCTATCATAAACATTTAGATTTCAGCCGATCCTAGCAGACATCTCCATAGTCTGGCGCTTGTTCAGTATTCCAATCTTCGAGCCTCTGTCTAGACAGCGTGTTTTGAAGTTTGTCTCAGTGGCCACAAACTGTCTGAATGCAGCCATCCTAGCAACTGCTGCAACTACAATGATGAATATGTGTAGTACATTGGCAGCTTCAAGTGGTTTGTTGTCGCTGGTTTTCAGTTTTAGTAGTTGTAGTAACTTTTTGGTTGTTGTAAGCTTAGTATGTGTAGTACTCAGATGGCTACTACTTTAGTATAAAACAATTCTGATGTTTAGTGCTGGTGACGCTTCTAATGCATCTATATTAGTGGATTGTTATTACTCTTGTTATCTCTTTTTTTGGTCGTTACTGCTGTTACATTTGTGATTATTATTATAATTATCGTTCGTTATTATAATTATTATATTATTATTATTATCATTACTATTAGGAACGTACAACAGAGGTTCTTCAGGCAGTAAGGAGGAAGACTATGAGGGTTATGCAAACTCCATTGTTCAGAAATCTGTTAGTTCTTGTTTGTTTGTGTTTGTGTCTTCCTGTCTGTCTTTCTGTCGCTCTATCCTTCTGTCTCTATCTGTTTGTTTTGTTTGTCTTGTTGGTTTGTCTGTCTGTCTGTCTCAGTTTTGTTTGTTCTGTTTTAAAATTTTGTTTGAAAGCATTAAATTTATTGTTGTTGATGATGTTTTTATATTACTTTTTATTATTATTATTGTATCTTTTACAATTAATTCTTTTTAGTGTCCTGAAAATTATTTCAAATTAATTTTTTTCACCACTCAATCTAGCTTGATATCTTCAATTGGGTGTCAAATATTTTTCAAAAATCCCTAAAAGCTGGAGATGTAAGTTTTCGATTGGTGGATGGATGGATGGATGGATGGATGGATGGATGGATGGATGGATGGATGGATGGATGGATGGATGGATGGATGGATGGATGGATGGATGGATGGATGGATGGATGGATGGATGGATGGATGGATGGATGGGTAGATGGATTGATTGATTTTTGATCGATTGATGTTTGTCAAGGATTAGCCGCCACTGACTATTTTTACGTTTTTTCCTATATAATTACGTTTGTTCCTCTTGATGACGCGAATGTTTTTGTCAGCAGCAGAGGGAGATATGAATGAAGTTATGAGAGAAGGACAAATGTTGAGGCTTTCCAAGTGGCACCCTGGTTCATTGACAGCAGATGGTCGTTGGTTAACGTGTGAAAACCCAGAGGATTGTATTGAAGCCAGAGCCATAGCTAAATTATAAAGAACTGTATAAAAATTGAAATTTACGTTAGCGTTGATAGCGGAGGGCAAAGTAATAAAATGTGTGAGAATCTATCTTGACCGTGATCTATTTTTTAGGCCCAATGTTAAGTCCGTAACGAACAAAATGACAGAACGCAGTAAGCAATGTTAAATAAAATAAATTTCTTCATACCGTGAAAAGTTAAAATATTTTATAAAATGCACGCATGAACTGTTGTAGCATCGTTTGATCGGATTCCTATCGTTCATTCGATCACCAATCTGATTAAAACGCTGGTGAAAAGAGCAATTCAAGTTGCCTAGTTGTCTAGTCGAATGCCTCAAACTCGTTAACTTTTTATAGCAACTGATAATGATTTAAATTCCAACCTATTAAATTTATGTTTCAAATCACCATGTGCTGTCTTTTTGTTGTTGATGTCAGTGGAAAACATTGTAGGGTGAGTTGTAATAGAAATTGTTTTTGTGCTAAATAAAAAAAATTCTACAGGATTAAATTATTATCTAACCTCTAAGCCAGTGTCCCTCAAGGTGGGCGATAGCGTCCCCTTGTGGGCGCTGAAGTCTTACTGGGGGGGGGGGGGGTGACAGGCTTTGACAAAATTTGAGAACTTTAGAAGTTTCATGTTTATGTATTGATCATTTTTTGCCGGGATTACAAAAACCATTTATTTGAACCAGTTAAAATCTTTTTCCATGCTAACCTTGCGGATACCTATCAGCGTTATTGTCGATTTGTAAACAGAGCTCAAAATCTTCCAGACGCAAAAAAATGTATTTGGTTAGAAAAGCAAATTCTTCTGTTGTCCCCTTGGATTGTGGTCAATTGTTCCATTCTCGTATTTGTGCCAACGGGGATTTATTGCTGTGACAACGCTGTTAACAAAAGAAAAAAAGAAATAACTGGGATATTAATAAACGTGAAGATTTAAGACTGTTTTCAGTAAATTTGAGCCTGATATTAAAAGTCTTATAAAAAAATCATCAAATTCACCCGTCACATTAAATTTATTTATGTTTAATTGTTCGTTCGTTTCAACTTGGATTTAAAAATATTTTTCGTAAAAATATTTTACTGTTATTTTTTCTCAAAATTTTTGTAATTTTAAAATAAGTGCATGCACCGAGAAACGAGACCAATGTATATACTTACTACTATTATAACGTACATCAACTTACTAAGAAGCTAAATTTTATTACATTTCTTTCAAATGAAAACTCTTAAGTCGGAGAGGGCTTCCATAAATTAGGCGGTGGGAGAAATAAGTTTGGGAACCATTGCTTAGAGTCTAAGCAGTCGGAAACATTTCTCGTACGAGCATTTTTTTTATAATTGATGTGTGATTAGAATGTGGAATAACTTTATTGAACAGCGCCTTTTTTGTTATGATGATAGAACAGATGCAGGTCTCATGCGTGAATTGAGACGGTTTTTGTTGAAGTGTGTTGCAAACTACTGTTGCTCTCAAACAATCATCTATTCAATCTATTAACTAGCTGACTGACTGACCATTCGATCAATTAATTATCCATTTAACCAATAATTCAGTCATTTATTCTTCGTTCATTCAATCGATCAATCAACTAACTTCAAATAGGTGCATCTGAATTTAAAAATGCTTGGTGCATCTGCTCTCTTAGCTGGTATCAAAGAAATTGTCAATCAGGATTATTCGGCTTTGGCTAAATCGTCTCTGGCCACTTCGGCTACTGCTTCTAGCAGGAGTAGAAAACCAAGTGGTAGTGAAGCAGCTAAAGTCGCGTTTACTACTACAACTACTGATGCTGCAGCTACGGCTACTTCGCCACTTAAAAAGAGTGAGGATAAAGATGATGGTGGTGGCAGTAGTGATGAAAGCAATTATGATTGGCATAAGATGTAAGTTGCGAGGTTGATTGTTTGCGGCCATGTGCGTTCGTGCTGATGTTGTTGAACGAAAAATAAATTATCATTATCGCCGCCAGATATCGTTACCATCACTTTTTTAAAATCACCCAGCGACTATCCACCAATCACGTCACTGACCGTTGCACTGGCCAATCAAACGACTCGATTGCTCAATGTCCTATTCTTGGATATGGAAAAGGAAGTTGTATCGGTCAGTTTTCCATAAATAAATCTATATAGTATATGAATATTGATTGAAATAGGTCAATAAATTTTTTGACTTAGCCATTCATGTTTTATTTGCCTTTTTTTAGACTCCTCCCACTGTAGAACAGCCAATAATAGTTGGAGAATTTAACGTGTATAACACATACACAGCCTATGAGAGGATTGTTAAACTGACCAGTGATGTGGATATTTTGGAACTTTTCAATAGGATCTCTTGTTATTCATTCTTTAAGGTTTGTTTGATTGCTGTTTGGCTTTGATTAGTGAATTGGTTGGCTGCTGTTGAACATTTGTTTCTTGAGAGTTAATTCGTTTGGTTGGTTTGTTTGACTGGCTAGCTGTTGAAAGGTTGGTTAGGAGTAAATTTGATTGGCTGGTTGATTGGTCTAGGTGTCATCAATTTGGTTGTATGATTGATTGGTGCTACGTGTGTTTCTGTGATTTATTTGATCTCGCACAATAACTTTTGATTGACCCATAGGGTGTTACCCTGTTCAATGCTATGTGTGAAAAAGTAGAAGCAACATCAACTACCAATAAGAAGACAACAACAACTACGACGACAACAACAACAACTTCTGCCAATCTTACTACTACATTTCGCGGCAGCAAGAAGGACGAAACTGCTGTTAGCACAGCTACTACTACGGCTACTACCACAGCTACATCAGCTACAGCTAATTCAGCTGCTGCTACTGACGCTGCTTTTGAGCTTGAGAGTGATACTAGTGACAGTAATACTTACTATGAGGAAGATTTCAGCAGTAGTCAGGATGAGCTGAGTTATGATGGTCGGTTTGCCTTTTGGGTATTTTTCTATTTTGGGGATTGGATTGTGATTTTAAAATAAAAATAACGATGACACACTCATTCTGGAAAACGACTCTACACTCCAGACGACGATTCAGAAAAGATCTTGGGACACATCTTCGACATGAACATCAGCTCGGGCAGGGATCACCATCATCACGGCCAGACGAACGGCGAGACGACAGGGAGCCAGACACTGACCGGACACATGGCCAGCTCGGAGCGCAAACATCCTCGTCGCCATAGTAACACGGAAAGTGTTGTCCTGGTGCCTGATAAAAAAGAAATCGAGACGGTCTGTTGTTGTTGACGGGGGGGAGGGGTTGGGGCCAAGATTGTTGCTAGTGTGGTTGACGATCTTTTTTGGCTTATCATGTTCAATTTTTTTGTCCATTTTACACATGAAACGGGCATTTTTCTGACTTTTACTTTAAAAATTCTCACAACGGAGGGGGGGCAGTGCCTTCCCAGTACCCCCGTTCTAGATCGGTCACTGGAAGATATTTATTTTATTACATTCGTCATTTTTTTTTCTTAGATTTTTAATACTTATAATTACAAACTAAAATTTTGGTTCTAATAAGATGTTATATATCATATATATATTTCATTTATATTATTATTATTATTGTTAGCATTGTTTTCATTACTATAACTATTATTACTACTATTATTATTATTATTATTATTATTATTATTATTGTCATAATTATTTTTTTCCCTTTCAAAAGTATGTGAAGTTATCAACTGACCTCGTGAACTTCATGATCCAACATTACATCATCTCCTCCTGTAACTTTCTGCTGAAGAAACTTACGTAAGTTTAGCCGTTGTTGCTCTTTATTATTATTATTGTTATTATTATTATTATTATTGTTGTTGTTATTGTTATTATTATTGTTATTATTATTATTACTATTATCATCATCACCGTCAGTATTGCTATAATTTTATGATGGAATCGTCATCCTTATCGCCACCATATTAATATAATGAAGATGGTTATGATAAGTAGTTGTAATATATTCTCAAATACACTAGCAAAAGAGTAGCGAACACCCGCACATCATAACAGCACGCACACGTACATACATACACGCACACACACACGTACACGTACACACACGTACACATACACACACGTACAGCAGCGCACAGAACAGACCGGAGTATCTCGTCTACTTTGCCCTAATTGTCCGGGAACTAGATCGCCTATTCCCTAGCTCCTCCTCCTACATCACCTTGACCTTCAATTTGATGTCTAGGTCACTGGCCTACTTTATTCATCTGCTATTGACTAAGAAGATCTACAGCCATCAATCTCAGGTTGTTGCTTTCTCCCAGTTAATTTGCGTTGCTCTCTAATGCATTGTGTTATAAATCTATATTCATCTTATCTGCTTAATAGTGCTAATAATTAGTAATGGCATCAAATACAAAGTCTAGATACCCATATCAAGATCACATGTTAATCAGCATAAATAAATAAAATAGCGAAAAATATAAAGTTTTGACCTAAGATGGGAAACTTTTCTGGCGCCTTTGTTGAACGCTCACTCGATTCTAGAGTCAATTAGTCTGAATCTTTGTGCAAATCCATCAATACAAAACAGTTTTACATGTTAGAGTTAAGCCATGTATGCAAACGTGTACAAGACAGGAACGGCACGAATTCGTACAGGCCTGTACAGACAAACACTGCATACACATTCATACAATCAATCAATCATACAGATGCTAATTTTGACCTACTTGAATGTTGGGTACACAAAACCGCAACAACAAACGACATCACCATCATCAATATCCCCGCCACAACAACTGCATCAACCTTTCTGGTGGTCAAATAGTAATACTACTGCTGCTGCTGAAGACGATGACGCTGATGCAAATAGAGATGTTGTTGAGAAAGATGAGGATGAGAAAAATAAAAAAGACGACAGTCAAGAGGATAGATACAGAAGAGGAGACAAAAAAGCAAGTGCTACATCTCTGTTTCCTTATCAAATTCGTCCTAGAACGCTGGCTGTTCTTGTGGAAGTTGTACTGGTTAGACAGCAATGGGCTAAGGAAAAAATGCTGTCCTCCTCACCATCTCGTGCCAATGATGAGGTCAGTGAGGCTGAAACGACAGTCAGCACTAATGATGATGATGAGGTCAATGGTGACGCGAGTGCATTTCAGGAAAAGTTTGGGGATGGACTTTTAGTGATGGAACGACTGATGGAAAGGCTGCAGATGGTTCTGGATGAGATGGTCAAGAGGATGACGATGGGAAGCATTGATGACCAGCTGGATATCATGATGGAAGGTTGGTTGGTTCGCTGGTTGATTGGTTGACTAGTTCGTTGGTTGGTTGGTTGCTGTGTGTGTATGTTTGTGTGCGTGCGTGCGTGTATGTGTGTGATACACTGACATACCGCATACATGATGCGCTATGATTCAAATACACATACACAGTTGTACACACATTCACACACGTTCACACACACACACATTCACACAACGCACGCGCGCGCACACAGACGTAAACAAAGAGTGCATGCTCATGATCTTCTTCCTCTTCCTAAATCTGAACCTGATGGAGAAAAAAGTACTCTGGATTGACCTTTGCAAATGTCTGGTCAGTTTCAATTCAAAGGTCAAGGTCAGTCAGATTGTCAATCCACTGCCAGTAACTAGGTGAGTGATGAAGAGGCTGATGAAGATGAGGATGATGATGTGAATGTGATAATACTTGTGATGGTGACGATGATGGTGACGAGGATTTTGAATAAATTTATTTTCACTAATCAGAATCCTCAAGGCAATTGACTACCTCTTGAGAAACTTCTACGAAATACCGTCTACCCTCAATGAAACGGTCTGTTAAATTCTTGCAATTTAAGTTTACTTTTAAATTAAAATTTTTTATTTTTCGTCATCGTAACTAACTAATTACCATAATTTCATCATCCCATCATCACGTAAAAATTCTCGTATCTGTTATCCTATCGTCATTTTGATCATCATCTTTTTTTCCTCTTATCACCATCGTCACCATCACAGTTTATATCATCATTAGTATCATTAAACTTGCAGGTATCAAAATGTATCTTTGGTGTATTTACTGGCACAACGACGAATGTAGTCCCGTTCACTATGAGTTCCAATAAATTACCATCCTATGACTTTTACGAACTCGTTGGCGGGTGTCAATCGGCTTCTTATCCAACTCAACCGGAGATCCCTAAAGTCGATGGATTGGTTAGTTTTTTAATTGATTGGTTGGTTGGTTGATTCATTGATTGTGGATAGTTGGTTGGTTGGTTGGCTGGTTGGCTGGCTGGCTGACTGGTCGTTTGGTTGGTTGGATAATTGGTGAAATTAAAATGAAGCCATTTTTTTATTCATTCATCTTTCTAGGCCTGT